TGTGTGTGTGTGTGTGTGTGTGTGTGTGTGTGTGTGTGTGTGTGTGTGTTTCTGTTTCTGGAGATGGAGGGTTTCATCCTTGATTGCTATTGGAATGGTCTTGTCCTAGATGTTCTGTGGACTTTCGGGAAGTCGGCCAGCAAGTGATTGAGAATAGTTAGAAGGCTGCTGACACCTGAGAGCCCTTAATGAGTTACATTCCCTGTATGAAACTGTCCCCTAGCACTTAGATGCAGTTGAAATTTGTTAGCAAGAACAGAGGGGCTGATGATGCGTAGGTGACACAAGGAAAGTGTTTTCAGCAAAAGAAATAATGGTATTTGATTTTGGTTCATACCAGAAAGCAGCGTAAACAGCACGTCGGCAGTGGGAGAAACCATGTTGTCCTCAGTGGAAGAAACCAAGCCAGTGATTGAGGTAAAGTTTCATTTTGTTCCATGGATGTTTGATAAGCACTGAGCTCCTGTTTGTAGATGAGCATCCTGATCCTACCTAAATTATAAAGAAATTCAGTGAAAAACATCAGTTTAAAGGTTAAAGTTAACTTAAAGGTTAAAGTTAACTTCTACTGGGTTTTAGAACAGGACAATGGGAAAGAACCTGCCCTTAGGTCACCTCACAGCCCCACTGTGACCAGATGAGTCAGTATTCTTAACAGTTTAATCTACTTAACTATTAAGAATACTTTAAACTATTGGTTTTTTTGAGACAGGGTTTTTCTGTTTAGCCCCAGCTGTCCTGGAACTCACTCTGTAGACCAGGCCAGCCTCATAATTCACAGAGATCTGCCTTACTCTGCCACCCAAGTGCTGGGATTAAAAGCATGCACCATTGCACCTGGCTGAAGGTTAGCTTTTACATTTGATAACAAATTAATTTTGTCTGTTGGAGTTGTCTTTTGAATGAAGCTACTTGGCTGGATAATCTTTCCATGGTATTTTAGTCCCTTGGTACTAAGATTGGGTGACATAAAGAATAATTTCTTTCTAGAAGGGCCTGGAGATATGACTCAGTGGTTAAGAGTGCTTTCTACTCAGTCATGAGGACCTGAGTTCAGATCTCACCACACATGGAATAAGCCTAGTGTCCTGCAAACATTTGTCATTACAGCTCCAGGGATCTGATACCCTCTTGTGACTTTTGCACATATAGACATGTGTTTGGACTTAAATAGATACATGCTCCTCCCCACATACATAAATAAATCTTCAGTGTTGATGACATGGTTCAACAGGTAAAGAGGTACTCGCTGCCAAGGAAGTTATTAAAAAGTTTATTTTTGGAAGCTGTGAAGTCCAAGATGAAGGCTCTCATAACTGGTTTGGTGTGTGTGATTGTTCCCTCCTTTATGATTGTACCTTTTGTAATATCCTTGGAGGGCAGAGGAAGGAAATGGCCAGATGTCATTGTGCTTTGTGCCTCTTCAAACAGCATCCTCCTCATCTCCCCAGAGCTGATTGAGTTTTCAGGGGTTTTGTTGTTGGTGGTGTTCCCCCTTGGCCAGGGTCTTTTTACACAGCCCTGGCTGTCCTGGAACTCAGTATGTAGACCAGGCTGGCTTCCAACTCACAGAGGTCAACCTAAGTGCTGGGATTACAGGCGTGTGCCAGCCTGAGTTTTAGTGAATTTTAGGGGATATATACAGACTGTAGCCCCTAGCATAGCTGTTGAGCCAGCTCAGTTTAATGAGTCTATCACATACTCCCTGGATGTAGTATTTTGTGCGAGTAAACTCATGGGACTGGTGAAGTAAGTGAACTCTTGGTGCCTGTGGTCGTGGAGCGGGGTGAGTGGTCTCTTCAGTTTCTGAAGCACAGCGGAAGGAGACAGTAGTCTCCTAATTCTTAGCGTTGTGGATGACTTTCAAGTTCTCCAACCTAAAGAAAGTGAGCCTGTGATTGCCTAACCCTTTATTGTTGGATGGAAATCCTGTCATTAAGGTCAAGGGGAGATGTTCAGCAGTAGGCCCAAAGCACAGCGTACACAAGGCCCTGGGCGCCATCCCAGCATTGTAAAACAGGGAAGGGAAGAGAAGAGAAAAAGAATGAAACTATGTGTCATATATTTTGAACTGTGAAGAAAATTTAAGATTCAAAATTACTGAGCTTACTGCCTGTCTTATTTGGTTCTGTAGGTGGAGGAAGTAATTTCCCCTGAAGACAATGTCTATTTCGGAACTACCAGTGACGATTCTGACATTGTTACACTTGAACCACCTAAGCTGGAAGAAATGGGGAACCAGGAGGTTATTAAAGAAGCGCCCGGCTCCGACGACTTTAACATGGGTTCTTCCTCCAGCAGCCAGTACACCTTCTGCCCGCCAGAACCCGGTATGGAGCTGTGGCGGCAGTGAACCTCTGGGCTCTTAGTTAGTGGCCTGTTCCAACTCAGCTCTTTAAACGGTTTCTCTGAAACTCAAGAAAATCTTGGCAAAATTTGTTACAGTGTCTTCCTGGCCTTTATGGCTCAGCTTAGTGTTCTTTCTTTGATACATTACTCTGTGTGTGTGTGGGGGGATGGGGACTGAACCCCAGATATTGCACATACATGTGAGGTAAGCACCCAGCCACATTCAGTATGTTCAAGTCTCAGGTCCTAAAAGCATTTGTCTTTTAACACCTGATTGACGGATTGATTGAGGTACAGTGGGTCTAGCTCTGTAACTCTGGCAGGTTTTGTATTCACTATGTAGCTCAGGCTTTGCCTCAGACTTGGCAGCTGTTCTATAGGCATATGCTACCATTCCCAGCTTTCTCGGTTTATTTTATTTTTGTTTTTTCAAGACAGGGTTTCTCTGTATGGCCCTGGCTGTCTTGGATCTTGCTCTGTAGATGAGGTTGACCTCAAACTCACAGTGATCCACCTGCCTCTGCTTCCTGAGTTCTGGGTTTAAAGACCTGTGCCACCACTGCTTGGCTACTTCCACAGTTTTTAACCTCAGTTTTTTAATATGTAGTATCTTTCAATGGGACACAAAATACTTAGACATAAAGTTTCTAGAAAAATGTTTAAAAAGAAACTTGTAACTAACTCAGGTATTAATTAATCCACAGTGATAATAACTTAAAGATGGATTATGGAGTCTTATGACTTCATTTAGAACTGCAGTTTTAATCATTTCCTAATTAGATCAAAAAACGAGTATATAGAATCTAGTTCAGATAAGCTCCTGTTTTCCCATTCTTTTAATACTTGATTAATCCATTCTTTTAATACATTTGGCAGTCAGAATCAAACAATGACATTTCTCATTCCATTATAAAGTAATAAAATGCCACATTGTGTTTCTTGGCTTTTTTTAATTTTCATTTTGGTTTGTTCTGAGATAGGATCTTTCTCTTGAGCCCACACCTCACTGTGTAGCCTTGGCTAGCCTTGGATTTGTTACAGTCTTCCTGGGATTATGTTTAAAAAATATCCACATCCTCTGTCCACATATAACAGTAATTCACATGTAACACACGAGTGCTAGGAACTTATTAGGGAATGACAATAAGAAGTATGTGTTCAGAGCAGAAGGAATTTTTTTGAATATTTTGAATCCATCCTTTGTTGAGTCTGAGATACAGATGGATGGCTGTATTTACACACAGTTGTTACAGTTGACCTTAGAATTCAATACCCCAGGCTCAAGCCTTCCTCCCCTCAGCGTGCTCAGGTTCCTTGGGCTCGGCAGGGCAGCGCCTGATACGTATATGGTTTTGATTTTAGAATTTCCATCATGTTCAGATAGTTTTCCCCTTTTGATCTGTTTGCTTATCCATTTGTTGTCTTCACCTCCGTCTTAAGATGGGGGGGTAGGAGTGTCACCAGAGGGCTTAGTGACAGAGCAGGACCCCTGCTGTGGGGACCTGAACCTGCAGTCCCAGGAGTCTGACTTCATTTCCTCTTGGAAAGATCTGACAGTGTTTCAGAATTAGTTAGCAGAAATATTAAGTTTTTTTTTTTTTGTTGTTGTTGTTGTTGGTTGGTTGGTTTGTAATTTTAGTCAGGATCTGTCACCTGTATCCCTGGCTAGCCTGGAATTCGTTAGAGGTCAGGGTGGCCTCAAACTCATGAAGATTGGCTTGTCCTAGAGTGCTGGGATCAAAGGTGGATGTGGCTATGCCCACTTTACTTTTTTAACCTATTGTAATCCACCCCATCAAAACTGCTTGTATAAAGAAAATGTTTGAAAATAATGCTAAATTTTGGGCAACACTGATAATGCTCTACAGCCAGGCATCGTTGGACAATTTATTTTCTCAGTTATTTCGTTCTTTTCTCTTATTCCTTTTTATCCTTACAGCTTTTCAGCTTCATGTTTTTGTATAGTTCTAATAGGTATGCAGCTTTTGTTTGCTTAAGAAAACTACTGCCTTCCATTGACCAACCTTTCTCCCCAGAAGGCGAAGGACATTCGTGTTGTGTATCTTTCTAAAGAGATGGTCATTGGATTTTAATCTCACAAAGATAACAGTGTAACTGATGAAAGTTGTATTTTCAGTTTTTTCCTTTATTATTTATAATGAAGCTTTATACATCTTTTTTCCCCCTATTTATTCACAAAAGAAAGGTGGTGGGAGAAGCTCTGGAAGATTCCTGAATGCATAAGGGGATGGGATGACCAGCTGAAACTTCGTGTTCCTAGCCAGCTCGCTCTCCAAGGTGGCGTGCGTGCCTGACACTGAGCAGCTTCTCAAGCTGGGCCAGTCACATTTACTATTGAAATGCTGAGTGCTTTGGAGAGTCCTGATCCCAGAGAGCCATAAACAGGCTGGCTGAGTTTATTGCATGTCTCTGCATTGCTTGCTGCTTGGACTGTGGGCCAAATTGCCCTGTACAGGAAGTTTAGAAATCCACATATTTCCACCATTACATATTATGAGTTAAAGCTGGAAGCATTAGGGAGTTTGATGACTGTTAATATCTACAGGGTGGTTTGTTCATATATATGAAGGCAATACATATTGTAGGTTTGGAGACATTTTTAAGATTTGGAGAAAGGTTTGCTCTTATCTTTACTTACTGCCATTCTGTCAGAAAGCATGACTTCAATACTCCAGCCAGGATCTGGGTGCCTTTATATTATGCAATGCTTGGCTTAAGTCTTCCTGTCCTTCTCTTTATCTGAGCAATTACCTCACAGCTGAGATGATGGCATCTTGGAAAAACTAGTGATTAAGAATAAGCAGACACATGCTGGGCATGAGGGACACAACACAGCGACCCCTCAGCGACTCCCATGTCACTAAGCATTAGCCTATGTGTTCATTCAGTGGCAGTGTCTCTGTGTTGTCATGTGAACATGAACTAAATTTTCCACGCTTGATCTTTAGAAAGCATTGCCTGATGTAGAGCAAGCTTTCCTGTGGCATGAACAGCCTGTTTTCTGAAAGACTGGCATTTTTGGTGCATGAGCGTGTGCTATTTTGGAGCGCCGTGTTAAGTTCAATTCACATTTTATCTTCTAACTGGCATGTAGGGATTATTACCAGTGTTCTTGTAGGTAATTGGTTGAAACATGAATGGAATTAGGAAGTGACATGTGCAAAAGAAAAATATTTTCTTTTTTTAAGATTTTATTTATTTCTTTTATGCATATTAGTGCTCTAAGAGGGCAGTAGAGGGTGTAGATGGTTGTGAGCCACCATGTGGTTGCTGGGAATTGAACTCAGGACCTCTGGAAGAGTAGACAGTGCTCTTAACCGCTGAGCCATTTCTCCAGCCCCTTGAGTAATATTTTCAAGGGATTGTTCCTCGACTGGAGACTTTCTGTGCAGTTTTTCCTTCTTCGTTTTTTTCTTTAGTATTCTTTCCATGAAGGAGCAGCACCAGACTGGGCCTTAGCATCAGGGATAGCTGTTGTGTCGCTTCCTCATGCTGACATATTTACTAGAGGGTAAAATCAACAACCTTCTGGTGAGAGTGGCAGTGGAAGGGAAGGGCTCATCTGACCTCTGGAACCCGGGTTGAACTGTGGTGCTTTGGACCTGCTTGGTGGGATAGGAAGATAGGGACCTTGGAGATGTATTTATTGTAAGAGAAAGTACTTACACACTTCCTGTCCCTTCAGGTAGATGTGAAACTGAACACAGAGACGGTTTCTGTTTTTTTTTTTTTTTTTTGTTTTGTTTTTTTTTGTTTTTTTTTTTTACTAAAATACTTCTTTCTGCTTCTAGACTGAACTAGACTGAAGAAATGAGTAACTGTTCTAGACAGTAAGGTGGGGAAGGGTAGAGCTTTAAAGAGCTACATAAGGAGACTGTCAGGGTGCAGGCAGGGTGTAGCAGTTTTTAGACTACAGTCGGTCTGTTTGGTTTGATGTTGGTAAATGAACAGCATGTTCTTGTTTGTGTTTCTCTTTGGCTTTCTCATGTAAAAGGGTAGGTAAGGATAGCATTGATTATTATGTCATATTTATTGGCAAGGCTTTTCTGAAACTGTTTACTTAAATGTCAACATTTTTCTTTTTAAAATAGTCTTTTCATCTCAGCCTAGTGATGAGGAATCCAGTAGTGATGACACCAGCCATGAGCCCAGCCCTGTCCCACGCCGCCGCCGCAACAGGAAGAAGACCATTTCTGTCTCAGAGTCTGAGGAGCTGCCACTCGCTGAAGCAGAAGATGAGCTCTCCAAGGAGCCGAGGAAACGCCACTTTAGTGGTGGTCTCAACAAGTGTGTTATCCTGGCCTTGGTGATCGCTGTCAGCATGGGATTTGGACATTTCTATGGTAAGTGTTCGGAAACACCTTGTGCAGAAGCCACATTCATACAGCAGCAAGGCAAGACGGCACAGAAAGGTCAGTGTTGGCTATTGTGGCCTGTGCCTATAGTCAGCTACTTTACTCAGGAGGCAGAAGTAGAGAATTGCTGGATCTTAGGAGTTTGCCATTAGCCTGGGCAACATAGCCAGACCCTGTCCCGAAACAAGACATTAACTTTTTTATTTTTTGAGACAAGATCAGGCTGGTCTTCAGCCTGTATGTAATCTTCCTCCATCAGACTCTCAAGTATAAATAAGACCTTATTAACATACATATTTGTGGCTTTTCTTTTTTAAAGAAGATTTGAAAATTAAAAATCTGAACTCAGTTTAGAGCACTGGCTACTGGCTGTTCTTCCTGAGGCCATAGGTTCAATTTCCTGTGTCCAACCCATATGGCACCTGTTTCATAATCATGTAATTTTATCCGCAAAGGATCTAGCACCCTCTTCCAACCTTTTAGGACACTGCATGCACATAGCATACAGACCTATGTGCAGGTGAAACAGGCATTAAAAAAAATCTGATGATGATGGGCATGGACTAAAGGGCATGCCTTTAGTCCCGGAAGCAGGCAAGAGGGTTTTGAGTTTGAGGCCAGACTGGTTTACAGATTCCACTCCAGGCTAGCCAGCCACATACTGAGACCCTGTTTAAAATAAAATAAAAATCTGCAGTTATATGTAGGAAGCATATAGAAAACCTAGATACAAGACTCACAACTTAAGAAACCCTGGGTTCTACCTTGAGGCAGATTTTTATATTTGTTGCATAGTATTTAAATTCCATCAAAATAGTCACATTTGCTGTAGACGGGATATGGTTCACATCTATAATCCCAGCCGTGGAGAGACAAGCAAGAAAGTTACCAAGAGTGGAAGGACAGTCTGGGTTATATAGTATGTAATACTTTCTCAAAAAAACAAAAAAAAACATTACATTTGAAATATTTCAGTAATTATTGCTCATCTTTTTATTTGGTCTCTAGTAAACTATTTTATTAGATAAGTGACTTGTAGATAGTTTATGTACAATGAATATCTTTTTTCTGAAACTCAGCCATGAATTATGATTTTGTTAGTGTGGTCATTCTGAACAGTCAGATGTTGGGCAGATGTGAGTCCTGCCTGGGGAAGCTGTCATGGCATAGCCCTCCACAGGAAAATCTAGATATGCTTGAGGTTGGATGCAGGAGTCATTTTGTGACATCCATTTCTGCCTTTCTGTTTCATCCAGAACGTTTTCATCTTGAAGTTTTGCTTTATACTTTTGTATTTATTTTGTAATGTTTATTTATGATAATCAGCATTCAAAGCCTTTAAATGTCTCCTTAGATGAGAAAAGTTCTTTATGGTGCTATTTTTCATTTAAGAATCTCACTGGTAGGACAAACAGTGGTGGCACTCGCCTGTAATCCCAGCATGCAGGAGGCAGAGACAGGTGGATCTCTAGAGTTCCAGGACAGCTAAGCCCCGTCTTGAAAAAAGAAAGAAAAATCTCAGTGTTGAATTACTTACTTAAGTTCTGTATTTTTTTTAAGAAGTTTTAGCCACTGTGTGCGTTTGTTCATGTATGTATGTGTGTAAGCGGGTACATACGCTGTCACATAAGTTTAGGTCAGAAGACATGTCTGGAGTTCTCTTCTGTACCCTTATGCAGATTCTGGGACTCAAACCCAGGTCTCCAGCCTCACACAGCAGCCTCCTTTCTTAGCGTGTTGCCAGCACAAGGTCTGTGCCTATACAGTTTGAAGACTGTCCTACTCTGTTCTTGTGGATTTTGTGGGATAGTTAAGTTTATTTTTATTATTTTTATTTTTGTTCTTGAAGCAAGAGTTTTACTATGTAGCCTAGGCTGAACTCTGACTCATGATCTGACTCAGCTGTAAGTGAGTGCCAAGATTACAGACCTGTGCTACCAGTCCTGGCCAGAGGGGTATGGTATACTTTAGAAATAAATGTCAGCTGGGCGTTGTGGCACACACTATAATCCCAGCACTCAGGGAGGCAGAGGCAGGCAGATCACCATGAGTTCAAGGCCAGCTTGGTCTACATAGCAAGTCCAGGACAACCAAGGCTACACAGAGAAACCGTATCTCAAAAAAAAAAAAAAAAAAAAAAAAAAAAAAAGTCTCACAATTCTTGTTGTGAACTTGTCTGAAACGAGGTCTCTTTATATAGCCCAGGCTGTCCTGGACTCAGTGTGTAGCTCTGGGTGGCCTAGAGCTCATGATGTAGATCAGGCTGATTCAGGCTCACAGAGCTCCATCTGCCTCTACCACCCAAGGGTTGCACTAAAGGTCTACACCACTGTGACTGGAAACTTGACAATCTTAGTTTGCCTATATAAACTAGTTGTAGATTTATTCCTTTTCTTGGTCTATATAACCTACATTTCAGCTTTCTATTTCAATAGTTCTTTCCAACAGTGAAGTAAATGTATCAATGTTTTTGAATGTATTTTTGCCTCCTGCAGGTAAACATGAAGGAAACAAGGAAAAAGGTCTAAAATCTTTTCTTACTAAAAGCCAAGACTTGGATATTAACTTCAATGTCAATACAGACTGCACCAAAATCTCACAATGCATGATTTTGGAATATTTTGTAGAAAGTACAGTTTAGAACTGTCTTTTTTAAAACCAAGGAATTGTGTGTTTGCTGGCTTTAACAAAATTAACACATTACCTTCCTTCTTGTGCATTTCCATATTCTCGTTATCACAGCATGGGAACCCTGGGTGATGCAGCATATGAAACGAGTCTACATGTAAATCTAAGCCCTGAGCCCAGTGACCTTCAGCATTCTTACTCACACGACAGGACTTCATCCTGTGCTGGGCAGTGAGCTCCATACCAAGAGCCGTTCTCCAGTATCTGTAGCCATAAGCAGCCACAGGGTAGAGATGGCCTCCTCAGAACACACCAGCCTTGGCTCTGTAACTGTGGGGTTTCCTGTAGATTCTAGAAGAAAGCAAAGGATAGTGATACAGTGTACTCTAGCTGTTTGGCCTGACTTAGGGTCTAAAAGTGCATCTGAACTTTTAGAAAAAGATAAAAAATAGCACAGGAGATAAAAATCTACATGAAAGCTGATACTAATACATGTTTGAAGTGTTCTTCTTGGCTCCATACTCAGAAAGTGGAAGGTGTTGGCAGGCTCTCCAGCTCTTCTGAGCATGTAACAGTGTGGTAGAAAGTAAAAATGCTTATAGCTAGTAAGGTTTATTATTAAAACCTATAATTATTAGGCAGTTATTATTAGCCCCCTGCCATATCAGCAAAAGCCACAGACACCTGCTGGATTTTAGATATTTTACTTGGGGCTTATGGTATATTGACCCCATAACCGTTCATGTTACCCCTCAGCCCTACATCCCATGCCATTTGCTCTAGTCATGCCTATCTGGCTACTTCCCCGTCCTGTCTCCATAAGTGCTTGTATTCTGCATCTGGACCACTCCTCCACATCAGTCTCAGAGTCCACTCTCCCCGCCCACGTGATTCTTTTACTATCCCGTGGCGGCTCTGCTTCTTCCTCCTGTCTTACCTGTCTCTCCTTCCTATGACCCTCCCATCATCAAAGCCTGAGAACTTTGGCCACACCTACCTCACTCTGCCCTGCCCAGGTATGTAGGGGTAACTTGGAGGCAAGGATTACAAATGTCATTTTGGGGTATGTGGGTGTCTGTTTGTAAAAGACATCAAGCAAACCTCGGAAGGAAATCATTAACAATCAAATAGAGAGCACCAGACCGTCCTGTTACATAACTGTAGCTAGCTTGGAAGTTACACAGCATAAAGAGGGTTAGAGTCTGTGGCTACATAAGCTTCCTAAGTCATCCTTGAATGGGCTTTTACTAAGCTTATGACAGGCAGGAGGGAAAGTAGACCATTTCAGCAACTGAAACTTTGGAACAGTAACAAACAGTGCCTAGATTATAGGAAAAAAAAAAAAAGGTGTTTCTAAAAGTGGACAATGCAGGATATTAACTGTGTGGGACAGTTTAATTCATTGAGCAACTGAAAATAGTAAAAAAAAAAAAAAAAAAAAAAAAAAAAAAGATAGAAATACAAAAATCTAGAGGTCAGCTAGACCTGCTATGGGTTTCATAAACCATATGCTGGTGCTGAAGGCCTTGGGTGAGAGTGAAGGAAGCATGAAGAGCTTAGTTCAGTGAGGGCACTCGGGCTTCCAGAGTGGATTTTGGTAGTCTCAAAACTTAGAAAGTGTGTAAGCTGCTTCACATTTGAAGTAGACCCTTTCCTGGGGGAGGAATCCCTCTAGACAGTCAGGTAGCAGGGTGCTGTGCTAAGCCCTCACCACTGAACTGAATCCCCATTCCTGTATTAAGTGATGCTCAAAAGTGGGTTTCAGGACCTGTAGAAGAATTAAAAAGGATTAATGGTTGCACCCTATGTTTAAACTTCTGCATGTAGTGGTCTGCCCTTTAGTCGTCAGATGTTTTTAGGTTTCTTGGTGTGCGTGCATGTGTGCTTTCATTCTTTCCTTCCTTCCTTTTCTTTCCTTTCTTTCCTCCTTCTTTCTTTTTGATTTTTTTGAGACAGGGTTTCTCTGTGTAGCCTTGGCTGTCCTGGACTCGCTCTGTAGACCAGGCTGGACTTGAACTCACAGAAATCCATCTGTCTCAGCCTCCCCGAGTGCTGAAATTACAGGCGTGTGCCACTGAGTCCATCTTATTGTTGTGTTTTCTTACGCATGACACACGTAGTAGAAGGAGCATGCAAAAGAATGTTTTGAATTTAAGGTCAAATGAAGGAACTGTCCTGGTACTGGGTGGTAACCTTTGTAGAAGGTTCTTCTGTTGAGAAATAGCCCCTGCCCTATTGCAGAATTCTTAAAAGATTTGGCTTTGAGGGCCTGCAGGATGGTTCAGTAGGATTGTTTACTTCCAAGACTAATGCCCTGAGTTGATCCCTGAGAGCCACATGGGGAAGGAGGGGTCCAATTCTTATAAGCTGTCTTGACCTCTGCTTTTGTGTCATGGCATGCATGTACCCCTCACTCCCATAAATAGTGCATGTGTTCTTTTTTAAAAAATAATCTCATCATTTAAGAAATAGAAGGGATGTGGCTCTGTTTGTAGAGTGTTAGCCTAGTGCATGCAAGGCCCTGGGTTCAAATCTTGGTGCAACATAAAAACTAGGACTTCTTTACCACCCTAAAGGTAGGGGCAGAGGGAGAAATTCATGCTTCTCCTTGGCTTCATACTAAGTTTGAGTCCAGCCTGGACTACAGGAGAGTGTTTTGTTGGGCATGGTGGCACACACCTGTCATCCCAGCACTCTGGGAGGCAGAGGCAGACTGATCTCTGAGTTCAAGGCCAGCCTGGTCTACAAAGTGAGTCCAGGACAGCCATGGCTACACAGAGAAACTCTGTCTCAAAAACAAACAAGCAAAAAACAAAAGAAAAGAGACTGTCTCACCAAAAAAAAAAAAAAAAAAAAAAAAAAAAAAAAAAAAAAAAAA